TTTTCGTATTTCATATAAGTACTAGAGCCGAGCGAACGGAAAACGCCATTTTGGTGGAAACGTCTGATCCTGACACACATTTTCAAGTTAAACACACAAATTTCCACCAGCACCGAAATTTTGTTTGTTCGTGCGTTTTTGTTTGCTTTAAACAGAAAATCGGAAAAAAAACAGAAATAAAGTGCCAAAAAAGGAATTAAAAAAATTGTGAAAATATTTTCGCGTATTTGGGTTATCGAGCTTATCATCACTATTTAAATAGTCAGGACAACAAAGGTACGCAACGAAGAGATTGATTTTTATCTAAGCGAAAAAAAAAAAACAGCAACAACAACATTATCAAGATTTGTAATAGTTTTGTGTGTATCCTTTTGCCAGTTATATAAGGGCTTATTATATAAAGGAGAAGGAGAGAGTATATGTAAATATATGTGTGTATGTGCGTGTCTTCGAATTATAAGTCCACTTAATAAGGATTTCCTTCAAGTGCGGGAAAATTTTTTCTGTCAGAGATTTGCAAGGAAGGATGAGCCAAATCTCAAGGATATTAGCAGGACGGAAGATGGTGTAAAAATTCAAAAATAAATAGGAAAATGAAATTAGTCAAAAAGGAAAACAAGAAATTAGATTTATTCAAGTCGAATCTAAGAGTAATCATGGCCAAACTCAATATTGCAAGGAATCTCGAAAGTGAAGCCATTTCGAATATATTTCTGCAATTGATTTTCCAGCCCTCTCAGAACCCAAAACAAAAATATGAGGCATGAAATATTAAGATTTGTTGATTAATTTAAGTCTAATTATGAAATTAGAATGCAAAGTTAAGTGGGATTGAGAAAAACGTGCAGACTAGCCTATGAGGAAGTTCCAGAAAAATATTAATTGGTCATTTTGGTAAAGTTAGAGTTATAGCCAAAAAACCGAATTTGGCTCCGGAGAGTATTATGGTTCTAATCTCCACCATAAGATGGGAGTACATAAGCCTTGTCATTCTGTTTGAAACCCCTAAAAATATATCTAAGACGGAGTCCCAATAAGGTACCCCCATTCGTGATTTCCATCCAATTCGAAGTCCTGACTGTCTGACCTTCCGTTGAAAGACTTCCCAATATTTTAGATGGGTAAATAAACTGTATTGGTCCCACGTTTAGGTATAGCTTTCATTTTACGTCCAAAGTTAGGATATTTTATTTTTCTTTTTCCAATTTTTTTCAAAATTTCCAATTTATCATCTGCGATTCGAAATTTTAGATTTAAGGGGTTTTAGCGTTGCAAAACATTATTCATTAAAGAGCTTATATTAGGAAAAGACACCACATAAGGGTACCTTAACATTTGAAGTATTTGACCCCACATAAGTGTACCTCCAAATTTGAACTATTTGTAGCATTCAAACCCATTTTCTAAACTTGCATAATTTTGATTGGAGGATTCACGTTTTCAGAGGAGGCTAGGCCTAGTAGCTTTCAATTTTTTAGTCCGTTGAACAATTAGTGATAGTGAATGTGTTTTCAGTCGCATCTAGCATCGTTTTAGATTGTACATTATTCTTTATTATGAATTCGTGTGTTTGGACCCATGTTGGGCGCCATATTTCTATATACAAACTTATGGACCGCTTAAGTAAACACAGAACACAGTGCTTCTGATCATGACCTAACTTAACAATCAACCTTTAATGAACAATTTCTGTAGGTAAGGTTTATATCCTGAGATGTTCAACAAGAATGGTTTATATCCTCAGGTGCACATATAGCGCAAAGCCTAACTTTCAATTATTCGATCCCTTGAAGTGTGTATTGATTCTGAATGTATATTGATTATGATCTGACTGTGCTCTAGACTGTACATAACTTCCAAATATGAAATGGTGTCCAACATAGGGCCTTGAGCTTATTTTCCCAGAGCTTATTTTCTCTGAGGCCCATATGACCATACATAATAATATGGGGCCCAATGTTAAAATTGAATAAAAAAAGTGTCCGCAATTGAAGCATTTTGAAGGCTTTGTCAGACGCCTACATAATACTTTAATTCCAGAGGCACATTCATATAGTGTTCTTAGGCTTTAGGCCTACGATTCACTGACCTTATCCGTGCTTATAAAATCTTGGGGCCTACGAGTTCTTATGCGTCGCTTTGTCTCGTCGAATGAAAAAAGACTCAGGAATTTAACCAATTTATTTTACTTTTAGGGCGCCTATATAATGTTTCAATTTCGGAAGCACATTTATATAGACTTTTATCCTTCGCCAAGGACCCAGCAGGGCATGAGTAAGATTTAAGCTTAATGTTGGGCGCACGCCATACTGTTATCTATGGTCATAAGAGCTGCATAGGTTATGCCTATGTAAATTGGGTCGTACCCTGGCCTAACCGTTGATAACCATAAATGTGTACAAGGCCCTATCTTGGACACCATTTTTTATATACGTCGTTGTGATCCGCTACAGTAAATAGGGACTTCTGGTAAAGTGGTTCTAATCTAATAGTTTATGATCTAACCTAATGGTGTACCTATATTGAAAATATTCTGCAAATAGGGTTTTATATTTTCAGAGGCTTATATGAACATACATAATAACATGGCGCCCAAATTAATCCAATGAGGTCTTATGCGCTGCTGAGTCCCGTGGTATATGAGAAGACTTCGGAATTGAAGCATTTTGTAGAATATTGTAGGAGGCCGACAAAATACGAGTACATCAATATGAACTCTGTTTTTCATTCGCCGAAGACATAGCGACACATTAGCATACATTAGACCCCATGTTGGGCGCCATATTGTTATCTATGGTTATACGAGCCGCTGAGGTTATCCTTAGCCTATGGAAGTTGAGTTACACCTAATCTTTGATAACCATGAAGCTCTTATCTCTGATATTTAATCTAATCGTTGATAACCATAAAGGTGTACAAGGCCCCATGTTGGGCGCCATATTTTTATATACGACCTTATAGGCCACTGCAGTAAATATAGCCTTGTTAAAGTGATACCTATCATGGTTTAACCTAATGAACCTAGTGAATCTACATTAAAAATATTCTGCAAGGAAGGTATATACTCTCAAAGGCTAATATGACCATACGTGTGCCGCTGGGTTTCATCGATTGAGAAAGGGCTCTCTATGAAAGTGTAATGAATTGTAGAACGCGTATAAAATATTTCAATGCCGGAGTCTCTAGGCTTTAGGACCCATGTTGGGCCCCATATTTCTATTGGATCACTCCCCTGCACACGTTGGTGCACCATATAGGTGTACAAGGCCCCATATTGGGCATAATAATATGATATATAAAGTCTAATGGACAGCTACTATGTTCAAAGCCTAAGTAAAGTGACCCACTTTACTGCCTTAACCAGTCGTAACCACAAGAGAAAATATCACAGAATAAGGTCCCATATTGGGTGCCATGTTGTTACATATGTTGCATATGAGCCTTTACGGTTTTAATGCCTAAGTTAGGTGATTTAAACCCTGAACCAATTATTATTATCACATCAGTGTATAAAGCCCCAAGTTGGGCGCCATATTGTATTTTTGTCACACTTTAGCCTAACCGTTGATAAAGGGCCCATATTGGGGGTCCATCTTATTATATACGGCCTTTTGGGCCGCTGTGGTGTTTAATGTCTAGGAAATGTGGGTCACGGTGTGGCCTAACCAAGTTGTAACCACAATGGAAGATACCACAGAATATGGTACCATATTGGGCGCCATAGTGTTGTGAATGGTCGTATGAGTCCCTGCTGTAATCAGTACTTATCTTGAGTGGGTCAGACCCTGAACTAACCACTGATAATCACATTGCTGCATAAGGTCCCATGTTGGGCGCCACATTGTAATGTATGCCTAGATGGAGTTCAAAAATGGGCATTATTGGTCCACTTCGTTTTCGTACCTCCCATATAAAAGTCTTCCTCATGGAGGGAGAAAGGATCATCTAATTATGTTCAAATTTAAAATCTGGAAAAATGAACAATATCGACGCAATCCATTAAATAGCTCCCCACAAAGTTTTCAAATTTTGAACTTGATTTTGAGTTTCAGAAAATGTAGATCCGCTAAATGTTATAGACCTCATATAGTAATACTGCATGATATTCGATATTTCCAAGGATATGCCTCTTTTTCCATTAAAAAAAATTGCAAGGCTAGTTCATATTAAAAAAACTATACCCCAAATTGCGGCAAGGACTGAGTTTTAAAGGTCGTGCCACATTCTTCAGCGGGTAGTGTTCTTATTTGAGTTTTTGAAATGTTAATTGGAAAAATGTTCTTCCACGTAAAAATGCTCACAGTAAATTGTCTACCACAAAAATTTAACGATTTTGGGGACGACCAATTTGAAATTAGCTAAGTCTGAGGTCTCCAAAGGAATTAACCTTCCCAGCGCAATATATATTCAGTATAGGCTATCTGGTATTTGATATTTCGAAGATTTCTATTCCGGTATTCATCAATTCAAAAAGTTTCTGTCCAATTTCGGGTGTTTTAAAGATCCTGTCATCATAGGATATTTAAGGATTATTTTTAATGGCGTTTGAAGGTCAACCGAATGGCCTACAATTGAAGATTCAGAATTTATATAGGTTTTGGGTTATAGCCCCTGTAACGGCTATCTCAAATAAGGATTTTCAATTGCCTATCATGGTTGTTTTGTGGGAATACAAAATATTCGGCCGTGTTCTTTCTTCTAGCTTTTCAGCAGTCCTTGGGTTCCTAGAAACCCTACACAAAAATCGGTAATTTTCCTCAAGCAATTATAGATCGGCACAGTACCAATGGAGATATACAAACGAATTTTACATGAAATTCTGGCAAACGTTAGATGTCTCAGCCATGAGACCCTCAAAGAAAATTTCGAATTTCAAACTTAAAAATATTCACTTAAATTTTTAGTCCTAAAACTCTGACTACATTTCAGCAGATCCTCTATATTTGCAATTTTAAAATTTATTTTTTCCATCCAAATAAAAAAGACAAATTGATACTAACCTAAATTTTGCTGCACCAAATCCCTTTAGATTTTTTTTATTTTATTTCCTTATTATCCTTCAGCGATTATTCGGTTTTCTTTTGGTTTTTTGCACAATAGACTTTTTATTGAACATCCAAATAAATTTTTGAATTATTAAAACTTAGCACTTCAAATTTTTATTTTATTCCAGATTTTTATAAAAAAATATATTTTTTGTCGATTTTTCCACCAAAAATTTCCAAACATGCGCCAATTTCAAGAGCTAATGAAAGACTAAATCCATAAACAGCCTTTCGGAAATTCCCAAAACACTTCAGGCCAAAGCCCAAAAATAAAACCCATTAGCCGAGTTTGACATATCGCCACCTCACAATCACGATAGATAGATAGTCTAATACAAAAAAAAAAATCACTCTCGTCCAGATAAGTAACTCAGATGTCAGCGGAAATCAGCCAAGCAACATTCTGATAAAAGCCGTCCGAATGAGTATTATTTTCAAAATAATGCGAAACATCGCATCGCAGAAATTCACCTACACAATTTTTTGAGGGCCTGCAGCTGGTGATATTTCCTGCCGATTAATCGTCGACAATTTGACATGCGATATGCTTACCTCGCCACCGCAACCTACCCTCTTTTACCTTATCATTGGCTGTTGTGATTTTTTTTTTTTTGGAGGAGGTAAGGTCGCATTGTTGTTACTATCAGATTGCACACCGCCAACAATTTCGCCTTAAATTCCGATAACGCATTTAATTATTATTGGCTACCAGCGTCGCATACGGGTCGAGAAGCATTTAAGTGGCATTAATCTAATAAAGCACCTCCGCTACTTGTGATTTGTCGATGGGCCTAACTTTATTAGCATGCACGAGTTTGTTTGCTTGTTCGGCTTTGTTTATCTACTTAAGTGACAAATTCCGTATTAATCTGGAAATATGTTCCGAAAGGGTTTTTGTTATTAATATTGAAATTATTAGTAAACATTGGAGATATTTGTAATAAGAGATAGGAGGAGAGAAGAAGGGAATAGGAGAATTTATCAATAAAATATTGTTAAAATCCATTAACCAATTAACTTATCTTTCAGTCGAATGGCTAAAAGGGTGTATGACACTTGATTTGCTCAACGTCATAAGCATTTTTCGAAATAACTCTTATGGACGACAAATATGTTCCCATGGAACCTAAATTTCGGATATTTGAATTGCAGTATGGGTCCATAATTAGTCTCCCAAAAATGGGTATTTGTGAAAGATTAAAGGCCGAAGTCGACTTTGATTTGTGATAAGCAGCACGAGCACCTCCTCCAAATTAAATAGACTTCAAAAACCAAAGACCGAGTCTTAGGGCATACCTAGTTCAAAGTTTTTAAAGATCATCAAAACTGAACGTGTTTTATATTATCTTTGGGAAATCCAATGTTGGGTCTAACTTCAAACGTGACAATTTTTCGATACGATCGGGGTTTCTAAATTTAGAATTATATTTTTAGGTGATAATGCCCATACATCGGCAGTACACAGGAGGAATTTAAATGACATACCATCGACTAAATGCCATTTAAATTCTTCTCAATACTGAGGTCTTTAAAATATTTTGTATTGAATACGAAGGTCTCGAGAATTTTTTCTATAGGAAAATATTAAATACCGAGTTCGGGCGTCTCGAGATTTTTTTCTATAGAAAAAAAGTCCTGAAATTTTTTTCTATAGAAAAAAGTCTCAATACAGAGGTCTCAAGAACTTTTGTTTTGAAAAAAAAATGTCTCAAAACCGAAGTCTCGAGAATTTTTTCCACAGAAAAAATGTTTCAATACCGAGATCCGGAGAATTTTATGTAAAGAAAAAATTTCTTGATATTTTTATCCATAAAAAATGTTTCAGCACCGAGGTCTCGAGATTTTTTTCTTTAAAAAGCCTCAATGCGGAGGTCAAAATTAGGCCATGCTCAAAATCACTTTCCATTCACTGCAGCGGTTCAGGGTTTAATCCACGTAAATAAGCCATCTAAGTGGCGCCCAATGTGGGACCTTATTCTGTGGTATGTTGTAGTTACAATTGGTTTGTCAAAATTTGACCCACTTGCCTAGGCTTTGATCACCGTAGCGGGCTCGTATAACCGTATGTGACAATATGGCGCCCAACATGAGGCCTAAAGCCTTACACTCACAGTATAAGTGTATCTCCGCAGTTGAACTATTATATAGGCATTCTACAAATCCTATAAAATGTTTGCATTTCGAAGTTAGACTTATATAGAGAGCTCTATGTCATTCGACGAGACCCAGCGGCACATGTATTTTAGCCTCTGAGAATATAAACCCTCCTTGCAGAACATTTTAATGTAGGTTCACTATTTAATTAGACCATGTTTCAAGACTACTTCAATAAAACTATGTTTATTTCAGCGGCTCATAAGGTCGTATATAAAAATATGGTATCAAAAACATGGGGCTTTGTGCACTCATATGATGATCAATGTTTAGGCCAGGGTGTTACCCAACTTACATTAAACTCAGCGGCTCGTATGGCCCTTGATCTTAATGTGGCGCCCAACACGGGGCATAATGTGTATTTATGGGCCGTTGGGTACTCGGCGAATGAGAAAAGTCCATATATAAGTGTGTATCTGGAATTGAAGTATTATCCCACAAAATGCTTCAATTCCGGAGACTTTTCTCATTGGACGAAACTCGGCGGCACGTACGACCTCATAGGCATACGTTTGGCGTTATTATGTATCGTCATATGAACCTCTGAGAATATGTAAACCCTCTTTGCAGAACATATTCAATGTAGGTTCACTATTGGGTTAGACCGTGTTTCAGAACCACTTTAACAAGGCTCTTTTTACTACAGCGATCCATAATATCATATATAAAAATATGGCGCCCAACGTTGGGCCTCGTGCACCTACATGGTTATCAACTATTAAGCCAGGCTGTGAGCCAATTTACATAGGCATTGATAACCTCAGTGGCTCGTAGACCATTGATAACAATATGGCACCCAACATAGGACGTAATGTGTGTTTATAGGCCTTTGGGTCCACGACGAATGAGAAAAGTCCCTATATAATTGAGTCTCCGGAATTGAAGTATTATCCCACAAAATGTTTGTTTCATTTGAAGAGACTCAGCAGCGCATACGACCTCATAGACATAAGTTGAGCGCCATGTTACCCATAAGGTCGTATATAAAAATTATGGATCCAAAAATGGGTCCAAACTCAGGAATTCAAAATTATGAGTTTGGTATAGTCTAAATACTGTCCACGAAGTCGTATATAGAAAATGGCGTCCAATATGTGTCCAAATCAACAAATTCAATATTTTTTGGTACAGACTCCCTATAAGGTCGGATATAAAAATATGGCGCCCAACATGGGTCCAAATCAACAAATTCAATATTGTTTGGTATAGACTGCCCATAAGGTCGTATATAAAAATATGGCGCCCAACATGGGTCCAAATCACCAATTTCAATATTATTTAGTTCAGACTGTCCATAAGGTCGTATATAAAAATATGGCGCCCAACGTGGGTCCAAACCAAAATATTATTATGTAGTATAGTCTGCCCATAAGGTCGTTTATAAAAAAAATGGCGTCCAACATGGGTTCAATTCAACAAAAATCAATATTATTTAATATAGACTGTCATAAGGTCGTATATAAAAAAATGGCGCCCAACATGGGTCCAAACCCACGAATTCAAAATTATGAGTCTGGTATAGTCTGAAGACTGCCCATGAGGTCGAATATAAAGAAATATGGGTCCAACATGGGTCCAAAGCCACGAATACAAAATTATAAGGTATATAAAAATATGGCTCCCAACATGGGTCCAAGCCAAAAAATTCAATATTTTCAGTTACGTATAGTCTACAGAAGTTCTAGATCTGAGTGGAAACACATTCACTCATTCACTATCACCATCTGATCAAGGGATTCAATAATTGAAAGCTAGGCCTAATGGCTCCTCATAAAAAAACCCTCAATAATGAGGTCTTCCGAAGTTTTTGTATAGAAAAACTCTCCATACTTACGTCCTGTAATTTGTCCCAAAAAAATCTCAATACTGAGGACCTGAGAATTAATTTTCTATAGGAAAAACATCAATACTGAAGTATTAAAATTTCCTTTTATAGAAGAGATTTCAACATTTTGGTCTTGAGGTCTTGAAAAAATTGTTACACAAATATACCAATGACTTCTGCCAAAGTGGAAATATTCAAATTTTGCATTTTCTTCTTAGTTTTATTAAATATCATTACTGTGCATTTAGCCTTCAGCTAATTTCATATTAAATGTTTTTGGCATACACACATACACATGCAAATACCTGAAACTACATCTAAAATTCCTTGGCAGAAAAAGGACAAATTTCCAATAACAGAAGTTAAACACGGATACATACACAGATACATACTTTCACGAACACATTGACAAATCAAATCAAAATTTTGCTCTTGTTATAGTTATGTCCTTCTACTTTTGTTATTGGTATCCTTGAAGTGAAATAGAATCCTTCAAATATTTCTCTGTTCATGTTGAAATGTTTTCCTTCGATGGTTATGGCAAGGCGAGTTAATGTAATAATCTCTCAAGGAGAGGGATCTTCTTGCAAGTGGCCTATTTAAAGGATAGATGAAAGGAAGAGAGAGAGAGAGAGAATGGGAGGGGAGTGATAAAAAAACACAAATCCTTGGAAGTTAATGGCAAATATTTTTCATTTTTATGTGGAACACTAAATAATGAAGATATAGTGAGACAATGCGGGATAAACATTTTATGGACTCAGTGAATCCTTTATTTAATCCTTTAAACTAAAATGCTTCATCATCGTTAAAGCATCCTCTCAAAAAAAAACAGGTTCTGAAACCCACACTTTATTGATAAGCAATTACTTAAGCCTGACAAAGTTTACTTTTTGAAATCAATGCAAAATAGCAAATCCCCTCTTCCCTTTTCCCCCATTTTCCCCCACACAGAAAAAGGTGTGTCCTTTTTTAAAACGAATTATATCCCCCACCAAACACAAGAAATGCATTTCCCCTTCAAGTGACAAACTCCTCCCTCTTTCGCATTAAAACCTAGCAAATATGGCCTTTGTTGTGTTCGTGACGTCATCAATGTTGGTGGAGCTTCAAGAATGCCTTGGCTGGCTTTTTGGGGATATCTGGTTATATACTTGTTATACCAAGTAAATGTACGCTATGCGCAGTTCATTGCAAATTTGGGGAGTAGATGTTGGAGGGGTGGAGGAAGG